GTGTTGAGAGGTGAGGTGAGGTGTTGAGAGGTGAGGTGAGGTATTGAGAGATGACGTTGTGTTGTGAGGGAGATACAAGGTGGGAGGGAGGAAGAGAGGGGGAAGTAGAAAGAGAGAAGGAGAAAGGGAAGAAAGGCGAGAGAAGGACGAAGGGATGATGAGAGGGAAGGAAAGAGAGATAAGAAGAAGTAGAAGGAGGAGAAGAAGAAGAAAATAGGAGAGAAAGGAGAGAGAGATAGGAAAAGAAGGGAGAGAAAATATATGAAAGGGAGAGAGGGAGAGAATACGAAGATGAAGGGGGTTGGGAGGGGAGAGGGTGAGGGAGGGGGTGAGGGAGAGAGGGAGTGGGATGAGAGGGAAACCCGGCTGCCCCTCAAGATGGACGCCTTCCTGGGATTCGAGTGGTGGCCTCAAGGATGTGGTCAGCAGGGTGGCAACGAGTCAGGTCAAGAATCACTGAGCTATGTGAGTGTTACAGTAGCTTTTGGGTAACTGGTTGACTGACTGACTGATTTACTGACTGTATGACTTACATTTGACTGTATGACTCACTGACTGACTGCATGCTATGACTCATTGACTGACTGACTGACTGACTAACTGGCTGACTGACTGACTGTATAACTCACTGAATGACAGTATGACTCACTGACTAACTGACTGACTGACTGACTCACTCACTCACTCACCAATTACACTAGAATCTCAGATCAATTTCTACGCCAATTTTTACCCTCTTACACTTGTTGTTGAGGAAACACTTGAGACAGATGGTCGAGACTCACTTCACCAGTCTACAGGAGGGGAAAATGGGTCGTGGGTCTTGGGTCGCGGGCAGTGGGTCGTGGGCTATGGATCGTGGGTCGTGAGTTATGGGTCGTGTTTCCTGGTTCCTAGATCATTTGGTCGTGGTTTCTGGGTCGTGAGTTATGGTCGTGTTTCCTGGCCGTGGGTTATGAATCGTGGGTCATGGGTCATGGGTCGTGAGTTATGGGTTCGTGTTTCCTGATTTCTAGGTCGTGGGCCGTGAGTCGTGGGTCTTGGGTCGTGAGTTATGGGTTCGTGTTTCCTGATTCTTGGGTCGTGGGTCATGGGGTTGTGGAACGTGTGGGTCGTAAGCCTTATTATATATTATTGTTTGTGTTAGTATGTACCTTGTTATGTGGGTAGATTCCAGGAAGCGACGGTGTACATGAAGGTCAAACAGAATGATGGTGATGGGTGATGGTGGGTGATGGTGGTGATGGGTGGATGGTGATGGTGATGGGTGGATGGTAATGGGTGAATCTAAAGCAATAGGAGATGAACTATATAAATATTCTTGGATCACCATACTAGAGAGAGAGAGAGAGAGAGAGAGAGAGAGAGAGAGAGAGAGAGAGAGAGAGAGATGGTTGAGTTTTTCTTATCATCACCTTTATTACTTCTCTCTTTTTCTTCCTGTGTTTATTATCTCATTTTCTTTATCTTTTACTTTTATTCGTATTCTTGTTTGGGTATATTTTTCCCCTCTTGGTAGAAGGATGGGAACTACCAGCATAAAGTGGTGTTTGTTACAGGAGAAAAACAATTGTGTCCTTAATATCTAGTGACCGAAGAACGGGTCATATTCTCTCTCTCTTTCTCTCTCACTTTATTTTCTTTTCTCTCCCTCAACGCCTCCCATCACCCACAAGATTGGTCATCTCGCGTGAAAGAATATCCCATTATGCCATCCCCCACCCCCTTCTCTCTCTATCTCTCACACTCTCTCTCTCTCTGTCTCCCATGCAACTCACCGCCCCCACCCAACCATCACAAACAAACGGGTATTTTAAGCTCCCATTATGAGTGTAAATGAGTAAATGAATCTCAGTAATGAACTATTTTTAGCCCCTGTGTATAGAGGGCGCTGCGCTAATCAGCTGGTCGTGTTTTGTTTACATTCTAAAATACGTTTTCTGTGTCAGGTTTATATTGGTTCGTTAAAGGGGTGACTATATATTCAGTGGTGAAAGGTCATTACCGAATAGGTCTATTATAGTTTACAAGTTTATGGAAAATGGAAAATTCTGTGTCTCTAATACAAACTGGAAATATTATTGAGTAGCTTTATGGAAACTAGGATCAATTCTTTATTTATATATATTCAAAATATAAATTATCATTCTATAGGTTTACAGACAATAGGTAAATAATCTCTGTTTATCTAAAACATAAATAAATAAATAAACAAAACGTCCATCTATCACCAAATCTTGTTCCACCACGAGGCTGAGCTGAGGTTGGCCTTAGCTGAGTGAGGATGACCTTGGCTGAGTGAGGATGGCCTTGGTTGAATGAGGATGGCCTTGGCTGAGTGAGGATGCCCTTGGCTGAGCTGAGGTTGGCCTTAGCTGAGTGAGGATGACCTTGGTTGAATGAGGATGGCCTTGGGTGAGTGAGGATGCCCTTGGCTGAGTGAGGATGGCCTTGGCTGAGTGAGGATGACCTTGGTTGAATGAGGATGGCCATGGCTCAGGATGACCTTAGCTCAGGTTGACCTTAGCTCAGGATGGTTTTAGCTCAGTTTAGCCTTGGCTGAGGTCACATGGCCGTCCTCAGCACAACAGGAATCACCCCCCCCCCCAAGTACTGAAAAAGTTAGCCCAGTTTGCCTTCAGCTTCGTCACTAACATAATACACCTTACCAAAAACACGTCTCTAGTATCTCTCTCATACACACTTTCTGTCTTTCATGCATTTTCTCTCTCTTTTTCTCTCACACATTCTCTGTCTCTCATGCACTGTCTCTCTCTCTCTCTATTTCTGCTTGTCTGTCTGTCTGTCTTTCTAATTCTCTTTCTCTCTGTTTATCTGTCTTTCTCTCTGCCTGTCCCTGTCTGTCTGTTTTTCTGTCTGTCTAACTGTCTGCCTGTGTCTCACTCAGGTTCCACGTCTAATTAAGTTAGACAGAAATTTACACAAAACCGACTTCTTTAAGACATCGTATTCAAGACGTTAATTCATCGTACTCAGTTGGGTTAATTCACGTACTTAGGGGGTTATGAAGTCGTACTCAAGAGGTTAATTCATCGTACTCAGTTGGGTTAATTCACGTACTTAGGGGGTTATGAAGTCGTACTCAAGAGGTTAATTCATCGTACTCAGTAGGGTTAATTCACGTACTTAGGGGGTTATGAAGTCGTACTCAAGAGGTTAATTCATCGTACTCAGTAGGGTTAATTCACGTACTCAGGGGGTTATGAAGTGGTACTCAAGAGGTTAATTCATCGTACTCAGTTGGGTTAATTCACGTACTTAGGGGGTTATGAAGTGGTACTCAAGACGTTAATTCATCGTACTCGTGCAGGTTAATTCATACTTGGGGGTTGTAAGTCGTACTCAAAGTTGAAATTTCGTCTGTACTCTAAGTGAGTTCATTACGTACTTAGGGGGTTATGAAGTGGTACTCAAGAGGTTAATTCATCGTACTCAGTAGGGTTAATTCACGTACTTAGGGGGTTATGAAGTGGTACTCAAGAGGTTAATTCATCGTACTCAGTAGGGTTAATTCACGTACTTAGGGGGTTATGAAGTCGTACTCAAGACGTTAATTCATCGTAGTCAGTAGGGTTAATTCACGTACTCAGGGGGTTATGAAGTGGTACTCAAGAGGTTAATTCATCGTACTCAAGGTTTAAGTTAGGTTTAATTGAGTTACGTTGCGCTTTCTAAATATTAATTGCTGAAATTCTGACCGAGGCATAAAAAACTACGTTCTGACAGAAAAATTGCCCTCGTTCAGGTTATAAAGACATACCACAGCACCATTTGTTTAGAGGCTGAAATATACTAGGTGAGTGAGTCCAGCTTCTGGAGTATGACCTTATTTTGAGCAAGAAAATGAACGCCCTGTGGGCGAGGCGTTGGTGCTCAGAGTCAAAGGGAATAGTGTTTCAAATATCGTGCGCCCGAGAGTTGAGAGGAAAATCTGTATACAAAGAGAATAATAACTGTCAGTGCAAGAAGCGAACCATGGGGCAGAACATTTTATCAGGTGCTACCCACCAGGCGATGTCCTTGTGTGGAATTGGGGAAGGAAACTCCAGGCTATCTTCCTTTATTTCTCCTTTACCGCCCTTCCTCTTCTTCCCTTCCCTCCTCTCTTACCTACATCTCCCACTCTCCTTCTTATCTTAATGCTCATTTCGCTTCCCACTTTCTCTCCGTCAGGGGTGAGCAGGCCTCCTTCTCCAGCATGTGACATCACCGCCTGTCCAGGATCCTGGCAGCTACCCCGGTGCCAAGGAAGGAAGGGAAGGAGAAGGAAGGAAGGTTTTCTTTATCCTGTATCCTTACTGAGGGTCTCTGTTCCCTGTATTCCTAGAGAGTAACTGTATCCAACTTCCCACTCCAAAGGTTAAGACCTACCTGGTGTTAATTACAAAGTGACCAGCGGGAACTACTGCCAGGACTGAGATATTGGAGACAGGGAGAGGAAGAAGGGGGATGGAGGAGGGAGAAGGGGAGGAGGAAGGAAGGGGATGGAGGAAGAAGAGGGAGACAGGGGGGAGGAGGAGGGGTAGAGGGGGGAGAAGGGGGAGTAAGTAGGCATAAAGGAGGAAGAGAGAGAAGGAATAGAAAGATAGAGGAGGAAGAGGAGGGAAACAAAGAAGTAGGGAGGAGGGAAGTGGAGGATGATGAAATGGAGAACAAGGAAGGAGGATAGAAGGAGTATGAGGAAGAGAAAGAGGAAGAACAAGACATAGGATAAGTAAAGAGAAATAAAATGGGAAAAAGACGGAGATGAAGAAGGAACGGAAGAAAGAGGAAGAGGAGAAGAAAGGCGGATAAAGAAAAGAAGAAGGGACAGAACATCAGCAAATTAACCAACAAACAAGACAAAATACGATATAAAACCAGGGAAGAAGAAGAGAAAGAAGAAGAAGAAGAACAACAACAAGGAGAGCAAAAAGACAAAACTAATTTAAGACGAACAAAATAACGAGTTTAGTTAGTTTTGTCAGATCAAACCAAGTCATTAGAAAACATACATACCAGCATCTATGAGGTTATTCAATGTAAAATGTGAGAATGCATTATCACCTCAGGGGCTATTCTTGTTACTGCACATGATATTACTGTCTACAGGTGTCATCAGTTCTCTGGTATGGAAGCTTTGGTCTTGGCGGGAGGTGTAATGATTGTTTATCAGACCACAGCTTACAGCCCAGAGAAGAACAGCACGTATAACAGTAAGTGGATGAGCAGGTGTACACCCTCGTAAGTTGACCCACCCTTCGTAATTAAAGTGAGATTAGAACCCAAGATTGTGACCTGACCCAAGAGGGGTCACGGCCGCAATGATCCAGAGTTCTCACCGCCGCGTCATTAGCTAACCCGGCGTCATGACCGTGTTACTCAAAAAGCTACCCTCCAGCCAGTACACCTGTCACCTGGCCAGACACGCCCAGATTAGTGACGACATCTTCCGGCTTGTCATC